CTAACCCCTGTGTACTTGAGTTTTCTCATCTGTGAAGAGGGGGATGAGAATAGTACCCACCTAACAGGGTGGGTGTGAGGCTTATGAAGCTCAGCGTGTGGACCACTGAGAGCGCTATAGCTCACACCTAGCGGGTGTCCTGGGACAGCCATGCTGGGCAGTGCTGGTCACCAGTAGTAGTGCTAGAAAATGGTAGGGCATTATTTTTCTGTAGTGTTTTCCTGCGTTGACCAGATCATTTCACGTCTTAGGTTTCATTGAATTTTTCATCCTTTTACAGCCTAAATTTGAATTTTTTAGCGCCTTAAATGCCTCATATTTTTAAGAAATATTCATGTAACATGTATTTGTTGGGTTCTAACCATATTCGAGGTCCTTTGCCATGCTCTGAAGGACATAAAGAAATAGTATGGACAAAGACCTCATGTTTAAGAGATAGTTGGGAAGGAAGGCTATAAACAGAAGTAGGTAAGTTTGAAGGAGGGCGGGCGTTCATAGCAGTTGGGTGAAAAGTTTGAGATCATCCACACCAGCCATCTTATTTCAGAGATGAGTTAACTGAGCTTCATGAAGAGATATGATTTGATAACGGCCACACAGTTAGCTATGGGGCCTCAATCTGTGTGGCTGTAAGTCATTGTGGGGAAAATAAATCACCTAATTTTCAGGAATGTGTGTGTGTGTGTGTCTTTTAAAACCTTCTAGGCAAATGCCAGTGTGTAGAAGACTTCAGTCCTGAGGGGGTGAGGGGACATAGGTACCACAATTGTAGGATCCACATGTGATGGGCTGACTGCACTCAGCTGTTGGTGAAACTGTCATTTTTTGAACAGTCTGTTGGGAACAGGACCCCATCAAGCAGCCAGGAGTGGATGAGGGAAAATGGCAGGAATTTATACCAAAATTATCTGAGTCTGTGACTGGGTTTAGATCCAGGGGGCTCCTAAAGATTGAACAAGTCTCAGGGCATGCATCCTATCATGTTGACTAGGTCAGTATGATAGGAGTTAGGGGAAGAGCTATGTCTGGCACATGGTTGCCGAGAGCCCAGAAAAACAAAATTCTTGGTAATAGGAAAGTTGTTAATTCTAGACTCTGTAATAGGGTGGTTTGGTTTGCTTTAGGAACTGGATATAATGAAGTTTATAGGTAGAGAATTTATTAACTAAGAGGATAATTCGTCACCCAATTCAGGAAGTTTTTGAGAATGCAAGGTCTACAATTAATAATTACGTCAGGATAACATGTCACCCATGTTGGGGTGTGTGATTACCCTATCTGGGCTTGGGAATAGAACAGCTTGTCACTCATATGTGATGCTGGTCACCCTACCCATGTTGGGGTGTACAGTTTCCCTGCTTTGAACTGGGAGTAACGTTCCACCTGTGTTGGGTTTCATGGTTACTTTATCCAGGCTCAGCCTCCAGAAAGGCCAGCACTGACAGGTTCTTAATCAGCTTGAGAATCCCAATTCCAAGCCCAAGAATTCCCTGTGTGAGAATCCTGGAACACTTATTTCACAGAACAGGTATTTAGCGATAAAAAGGCTTCAAAGACAGAACTCATTCTGTTGCCCCAGGCTAGCAGAGTGCTGTGGAGTCAGTCTAGCTCACAGCAACCTTAACTCTTGGGGTCAAGTGAGCCTCCCACCTCAGCCTGCCAGAGTGCTAGGATTATAGGTGTGAGCCGCTCTGCCTGGCCCCTACCAAAGGACTTTTGGGAACATTCAATATGTGACTGTATCATGTGATCTGTAATTTCGATGGAGGATAGTGGTATGGAATATTATGTGAACTTATTTGTCTGTGGAACTCTTCATTTCCAGAACTTCCATCAGGGCTGACATCTGTCTAGCTGCCCTCCCTTTTGGAAGTATTGCCCATGCCATTCTCTGTCTTCTATCATACAGTGGGGGTGCCGAGGGGGGGAGTTTCCCTTTCGGTTGGAGGCAGTAAGCTGAGCTCCCCTGACATAGGTGGCGCTTGTATCATGCTGTGAAGAACAGGATTGGGGGATTCAGAGATGCAGAGGAAAGGCATTTCTAGTGGAACCAGTGCGCACAAGGTGCTGAGGCAAGAACCTGCAGGAGGAGGCTGGGTGCCCATAGCTCAGTGGTTAGAGCACTGGCCACATGCACCAGGGCTGGTTGGTTCAAACGGGACTGGGACTGCTAAACAAAACAAAAACAAAACAAAATAGCTGGGCGTTGTGAGGGGTGCCTATAGTCCCAGCTACTAGGGAGGCTGAAGCAAGAAAATCTCTTTAGCTCAAGAGTTTGTGGTTGCTGTGAGCTGTGACACCATGGTACTCTACAGAGGTTGACAAAGTGAGATTCTGTCTCAATAAAAAAGAAAAAAAAAAAGAACCAGTAGGAGTAGTGTAGGGAACATGATGTGTGTGAAGGAGACTGGAGTGTTATGAGTTAGGGAAGGTGTGTGGGGATTGCATTGTGATCTAGGGTTGTTTGGTCCTTTAATTCAGCAGGTGATGAGTAATCCTGAGGTGTTACTGCTTGATCAGAGGGGTGCTTTAGTCACATTGACCTGGTAGTGAGGTCTGGGTAAACTCTTGGGAGGTAGGAGCATCTCTACCAGGTGAGAGATAACTGAATTAGGGAAACGGCAGAAGGAATGGAGAGGAGAGGACATGCTCAACAGTTAGCACTTGATAACTTAGGGTAGACAAAGTGTTCAAAGTTCTGGGAGAGTAAATATGGTAGGGAAGAAAAATTATGTGCTGGCTTTTCAAAATGATCTTTTAAAAATTTTGAATACTATACGTGTATGGTCATGACTCCCAGATTGGAATCTTGGCCCAGAACTCTCTCCTAAACTTGAGATTCCTGTACCTCACTGCCTACTGATGTCTTCCCAATGACATCTCAAATTTAGCAGGTTCTAAAGTGAATTCCTGATCCCCACCACTCTCTCCCTCATAGCCTTAAACCAGGCATCCTCAAACTATGGCCCGTGGGCCACATGTGGCCTGCCTAGGACATTTATCCAGCCTACTGGGTGTTTTTGCCGCTGCTGCCTGTCCTGCTTAGCAGTCGACTCGTCCCAGGGCCCGCAGTCCAGCCCTCCAACGGTCTGAGGGACAGTGAACTGGCCCCCTGTTTAAAGTTTGAGGACCCCTGCCTTAAACAGAGCTGATGGAAGCTCTATCTTTTTGTTGCTCAGGCCATAGAGACATCCTGACCTTCCAAATCCCATGTCAGATCCATCAGGAAATTCTGTTGGCTCTAGCTTTCATCTGACCATTTTGTAGCAATTCTAGTGCCACCACTGTCACCATCATGTCTTACAATTTATGAATTTATCACAAGGGTCCCCCTGCCCTCCTCCTTGATTCTGGCCCCATCTCCCATTGGTCTGTTCTAATATGGCCACAGTGATCTTTTAAAAGTGTGTCTGATAATTCCATTCTCCAAAGGCTTCCAGTGGCTCCCAAATTCTCTGACAATCAAATTCAGGTTTTTCAACCATTTTTATCTCCTGGCACACTTGAACTTATAGTTAAACTTCTGTGG